AATATGCCTTAATTGTGTCTTTTCTTTGCACCTTGGTAACAGATCTGTTATTTACAAACTCCCAGCTGCACATGCGCACATTACGGGGCCACCTGCTGGAGTCATAATGCCTACAAAGGTACTAGTAATGATGTCTGAAGGTGTTTGACCTTGGTGCATTCATTTTTCTTTTTTTATTAAGTTATTCTATTTTATTAATAGATAGGTCTTTTATAGTTTTTATAGATGGAAATTTATGTTTGGATACTTGCTTTGTTCAATTAGGCCAAGTTCTTTCATGTAGCCATTCACCATTTCTGCATAAATACATCACCCCAAACGCAACCTTTTGAAATGTGTAGTCTAGGAAAGCCCAGTCAATGTGATCATATACCTTTTCCACATCAACCTTGTATAATAAGAAGTGCGGGGATCTTGAGTTGAATAGCATTTCTTAGAATCAACTCCTAGAGCAAAGTTTTTTGGTTTGTGTTTATATTTGTAATTCTTAATTGCTTGATTATTTGGATTTGGAATTCTTGACTGGCTGATTTCACTATTGTTGGTGTTCCGTTTTGTTATTTGATATAAGGTATTGTGGTGTGTGTTTTAATTACCTATGCTGTGGTCAGTAGTATTCTAGTATCCATAATTTTAGGGGCCTGTGGTCTACAAAAATGTTTGGGCATATGATGAAATATTAGATTGATCTGAACTACTCTTTGTAAGCCCCAGGCTAGACCAGATTCAAGAGTCCCTCCTTGGGGTTTAGAGTGAGCATTAGAGCAATTGATGACTTCTCTCATCAATCCATTCTTACTTGGTCTTCAAGACTTTACCTGACTCTTACGCTTATTCTTTGTGTATGCATTTGTGTGTGTGTGTTTCTGGGTGGGTGTTTATCTGCTTGTCTGTATTAAGATGTGGAAATGTTTGCACGACATGAATGGCATGTTTTGACAGCATTTGAAACATGGATATTACTGAGTGTATACACAATGTTTTCAGACTGTTACATCACAAGACGTTAAGGTGCCACCAGTCTTGTGGCACGAAGATAATGGCAGGAGGCCACGGGATGACCCACGGTATGCTTTTCATATTATGCCATATCGCTTTCTGTTCATTATCTCTTTTTCTTTTTTTGGGGAATATATATTGTAACCTAGTATTTTAGAACTCTGACTTGGCTCGGCTCGACCTGCTCTCAAGCTCAGTCTCAACGAGTCAAACTCCAAGTGTTATAAGACCAGGCCGTGTTTTTCTCTAAAACTTACTGATTCAGCTGACTGCCATAGGACTTTAGGGGTGGCAATGGGCCGGGTGGCCCGGCCCGGCTAGGCCCTAAAAACCTAGGGCTTGGGCCAGGCCAAGATCAGCCTGGCCCTTATTTTTCATATTTTTTGCATTGTTTTCCTTCAATTTTATGCTGCGCTGGCCTGGCCAGCCCGGCCCTCATCGGAACAAGGCCGGGCTAAGGTCCGGACTGGCCCAGCCCGTTGCCAGCCCTAACAAGACTTATGGAGTAGTTGAGCCTTGTGGCCACCAGTGGTTCTCTACTCCAAGTCAATTTGACAAACCTCTTGGAGTCTGGAGGGTCTCTACTCCAAGTCAATTTGATGAATTTTAAATTATACTACAATGGGCCGTGGAAGACCATCCTCCATTGAGATCATCACCATCTGATGTGAACAATGGCAGAGAGGGACCAGGACCTCCTATTGCATCATGTGCTGTTCTAATAAGTCCCACTCTGTCCATTACACTATCAATCATTTCATTGGATGGAGATGACTCCAGTGGAGTTTGGGTTTATGTACCCCATCGGATATGGGATTATGGTATACTTTCAGTTCTCTTGATATATTCTTCTCCCTATGGTGAAAGCCTAAACCTAGGCTTTTCTCATGTTTCAGGGCAAATCCCCCCGGTGCCATTTCAGGAAGGCAGCTTGGAGCAGCAGCTCATCGCCTTCTTGTTAACAGCCTACAATTAAGGACTGTTCGTGATGCTCCGGATCCAATACACGCACCGCCTTATACTGGTGGTGTGCTTGCTTCTTCTCCATACCCAAATGGAGCAACAATTGTTATGTACAACCCAAGGACCTCACAAACACAGTACCATGACCACTACACAACGCACCATTACACAAATCCCAACCCTAGGAACTATGGTTATGGCCACGCTGAAGCTTCACCATTGGGTGATATGTATAATAGAAACCAGCAACATAACCACCACACCTCGCATCACAGGCAATCTCAGTGGAATGGTAGCACCAACAGTTATTTCAGTGCAAGAGATAATGGTGTGGGCAGGGGTACCAATTACCATCATGTCCATTCATCCTATGCTCATTCAGGTGACTATTATGGATCGTATGACCAAGGGAATATGGTGGGGCAATACAGTGGTCATGGTGTGGGAGGCCAGTGGGGTAGGGGTCGAGGGAGAGGAGGGTATACAGACCCTCGAGGGCCACCTAACAGGTATTCGGCTTTGGATAGGGGGCAAAGACCGCCCCATGGATATGGCCGCCCTTAAGGTCTTGTATTGTGCTGATTTTTTTTTTTTTGTTGTTTTTTTGTTGTTTTTTTTTGTTTTTGTACTTTATTGATCTAGATGATGATGATACCATTTCTTTTCCCAGACAATAGGGCTCTCCTCCTCGGGGATGCTAGAAATGGTCCATTGTGCATTAGATCATCTTGTAACATTTATTAGTTTGCCCTAGGTCTATTTCTCTGTCACTTTCATGTGGAAATCCCATTGTCTTGGTTTCTCCTCATAGGTTATTTGATTATTCATGCACTGTCGTGATCTTAATGGTCACATCCAATGTGCTTGTTTTATTGAGATAAATGTCGGAAAAATATGTATTTGTTTTGCCATCTAATTGTGGTGCCCGATGAACTTTATGGAATCTTTAATAGGAAAATGGTTTGGTCTTTGTTGTGGCTGTGGCCACACAAAACTGTGCGGCAACATCTCTTTTGCCCCTGTTCTTGGACGAGGATCTTCTGCCTCTCTATCCAAGATTCATTTAATGAAGAGATAAATAAAAAGATAAAAATATGAAAAAGGTTTTGGAACCGTCATTGTGCTCCATACAAAAAAGAATCTGGTTTTAGCTGTCCATTTCAATGAGCGGTATATTCATCATATTTTGAGCTTTTTAGGAGCATGGAGAGGTCCTCGATTCATGAACATAGGCTAATGAGTTTACAAATTATTTGGAGCGGTCCTCAATTCATGAACATAGGATGGAAAACATTTTCGTACATCTCAATTTGATGAACAATTTCTCGGTATCTCCTGAGTTGTGGAAGATGTTTGGCGGCATTAAACTTCAAAAAAGCAGGCCTGAAAGCCAACATTGTTCGATCAGCTCGGTATGGTTTGCACAGAGGTTTAGGCTGTCTGCTCACACTGCAATCAAATTTTATGATCTTCAAGTTAGCCTGGGCTACAATAGGTTCAGTAAAGGAGTGGATTGGCTCATCACGAGGGCCAAATCTGCCATTGATGAGCTGGCTGAGCTCCCTACTTGGCAACCCACTACAGTTAAACCTCCAAAACCCACAACAGGGACATCTCTAACCAAAACCAGAGCCAGTTTGAGCTCAAGCTTGAAACCCATTACCCAAAACCTCTCTCATTCTCATTCCAGTATTGCTGCCCAATCAAACCCACCTTCCAGTTTCTTGCTTCCACCAATGGAGACCGAGTCATGAGACCTTTTTCTTCCTCTGTTTCTTATTTGTCAGTTGGGTTCCCGAACGAGGTCCAAAACTACCCACCTGATGTTCTCTCTAGAGCCAACGGCCAGGATCTTCATCTCTCTACAATCCTTTCAAGATCCCCCACAACCAGCAAATGCACCCAAATCCTCATTCAACTACTGGCTCAGACCCGGCTTTATAAGACACAGCTCTCTCATTCTCCAATGAAAACCCAGTTCCAATTCATGGAGAATAGGCATGTTCTGGGCAGAACAGTACTACCCAGAGTTTGGGGCTACTCGGATTCATAGATTGGTGGTTTGGAATTCAGGCCCGTCATCATCGTTTTCTTCATCTATTGGGTTTGTGAATTCAAGAGCTGCGTTTAAAGTAACCAGTCACGAATTATACCGAGCTTTGGCTCTTGTATCAGAGAGAGATTGGGGGAGAGAGAGGCGAGAGAGAGAGATCGGAGGGGGAGAGCGCGTATGCATGGGGGAGAGAGAGGGGGCAATGAGAGGAGAAATTGGCATTTGTCAGTTTGTTTAGGATGGTAGGTCATAAAAAGAAAAAAATTGTGGGTTAAATAGGTTTATGGGGTCTGAAGAAGTATTTGTTTTAAGGGTGAGGTTTGTATAAGGTTACCTCCTTAGTAGTCAGGTGCATATAAAATTTACTTAGAGATATCGTTTCGGCATCGAAAATTTTATGATGGTTTTAAAATCTCTTTTTAAATTTAATTAGAAATTTTAAAATTTAAATAATAATACAGATCGAGTATATTAATAAATACTTGAAAATCTTGAAAACAGACGGTCCATATGACTTTTTATTAGATGTATTATTTTTTGAACTTGGAATTCTTGTTTTTCTTCATGTCCATTCAACTCAAGGTCTGGATGATCAATTGAAGGGTTCTCATCTCAAGGTCTAGATGATCAGTTGAAGGGTTCTCCTATGTGGGAACACTCTCCTCTGTAGGATTTTTGAGATGCACATTTCCTCAACAGTATAAGGTTGCAACCTTATACAAACTTTTTCCTTTTTTAAGTTTGATTCTGCTAGGTATCTTTTACATTTGGAAAAAGTTTATATAAGGCTGAGGCCCTAAACAATCAAATTAGCACCTAAAAACTCATTAGAAGTTGTTTCGATGCTGAAAAACCTTGAAATTCGTTCTCTTAACCTCCAGAGGTATGGGCATAAAAAAAAACTGAATTTCAAAGTCTTGAAAATAGTAAATCTTGTAATGCATTATCTAGACCGTCAATTTTCAAGATATTCAAGTGTTTATAAGTCTGCATGATACACACTATTTTTGAAGTTAGAAATTTCATAACTAGAGATGGAAATAATTTTCAATCCATCATAAAAATTTTCGGTGCTGAAACAACATCTTTGGACACTATATGAAGGCACGCCTTACTGATTATTTAGGGCCTCAGCCTTATACAAACCACACCATTTACATTTTAGGAGATAGGGATATTGGGCCCTCTCCCCACTACATCTTTTGACACTACATGAAAGCACACCTTACTTTGATTATTTTTAGTACAAGGAGGTCATAATTAATCATAATACTATTAGAAGTCCAATTGGATGGTCATGAAGTTAAAGAAATTTTTTGTTAGGTTTTGAGTTTAGTCACAAGTACATTTATAACTATTCGATTTGAAATTTGATGGACAAGAATAGCTGTGACCTCCTTATTCTAAAAGTAAATAACCTCTTTGTATATTTTTCCATAAATTCTAATCTTCTTAAAATTCATTTTGCCTCTCGCGACGGGCTGGAAAACTGGGCATTTAAAATGGGGTTGTCATGTAAGGCTGTTATCACAATTAGCTTTAGGCATCAGATTTAAAATAAGATATAATATAAAAAAAAAGAAAAGAAAAAGACTTTCTACCTTGTCAGTGGTACACTCGCAGTCCAATTTAAGGTAACTGATGCCTCTGCATATTTCGCCCTCACTCCCCTGTAGGCAGCTGGAAGCTGTTGGATAAATAGGGAACTAGAGATAAGTCAGTTATGGATTAAGAAGCAATGTTCTTATTTATAGGTGGTCTTTTTGTCTAGAAAGCACGTGCAGACAGACATAAGAGTGTTAGAAAACGTTTTAATTTTTTTAATTTTTAATTTTTTTAAATTAATCATCTCAATCCTTCCAAGTAGGTCTTCTGACCGAGGGAGTAGATGTAGTATACATGCTCTTCAATTTGAAGTCCTAATTTTTTTGGAAGTTTTACATGTGGCGCCACCCATGGTTGAGATACTTTATAAGTTGGTAGCTGAAATTCTGATCTTAATTAGATGGCTTAGAGCATTTATTTTTATTTTTAATAAAATTTGAGGCATGAATACCTCTCAAAAAGGTGCTTGAGAGAAAAAATAGTTGATAAAAATGACCAAATCACTATTGGAACTTGCATAGGTATTTTGGCTATTTTTATTCACTTTTTTTTTTTGGTTAAGTCTTTCCTTAAAGGTCAGGGAGCGTCCAAAATCTCATCCAAAATATATTTTATAAAACAAAATTAAAAATAAAACAACGTTAGGCACGACATTATGATTGAAGCTATTGCAGCCATCTATTCAGATCGGACAAATCAAAATAAAGATCACATATTTATATGTGGTTAGCACCGCATTAAGGTTTTTCCATTTTTAAAAGGTAAAACAATTGGAATTTGTCGTGAAGTTACAGAAATAATGATTTCTTATGATTTGATACATAATTCTTTGGATTATAGCCTTCTGTTCAAAGTCATAAACCCTTTTTTTTTTTTGTTTATCGTTAAAGGTGTACACCAAGGTTAATCGCCACCTAAATTTGGGCTATTGCTATAAAAATCGATAGCCTTTTCTAGTTTATACTATTTCTCTTGACGTCCGCATCCATTTACAGTGGACAGTGGGGACCATCTTTCCCAACATTTGCACCATCCATTTCTGTTTGGATAACTAGAAATACATTTCCAGAAATGGATTTAAGTGGAAATGACACATTGCTTATATTTGGATCAAAATTTTGCGACTGAAAAGTATTTCTGACTATAATTGTTTTTCTGACCGTAACTGTTTTCCTCATGTCAAGCCAAAAATGAATAAATCTACTTCATGGTCTTTACCCTCCGAAATTAATTTCCAGCCAGATTTCCCCGTTATGGAGATGTCCACTGAGGGACTACATCCCTGACATTCTATATCACTCTAGATCGACTGCAAATCACACCCAAGACATCTGCACTGTCCATTTGCCCTAAAACACATCAGACACTTCTGATATGATCTGTATCAACGACAGTAAAGCGTACCAATTGATCTCATCAGTTATCCGATATTTCACAAATTTACAATTCACAGCATATCTATCTGATGATCAAAATAAAGAAAGTTTGGACAAAAGAAATGCTGATCATAATAAGGTAAAATTCAAGAAGTACCCCTGCATAAATATCTTAATACATGCTGCAAAATGTTAGGAAACCTTTTTTATCATGTCCAAATCAATAGCATATGAAATTGGGCCAAATATTAACCAAACTATTTGATGTGCAGATTGTTCATATTGTTTTCAATTTCTAGTTTCAATAAAAATGTTTTCCAACTAAGTTCGCCAAAATTCATATACAATAAACAAAAATATTCACCCAAAATTAAAAAATGATCGCCTGCTTCCAGCTAAACCATTTGAAACCCATTTGAACATTGCCACCCATTCTTCTGGGGCAAAGTTTAACAACTCAAGACATCGACACATAAATATCCTGATGAATCTGTACAAACAGAATATGTAGCCTGCAGGTGTATCCAGGCTTCCCTGACCAGTTATAATACATGGTACAATATAAATTTTATTCACCTATTTATTGAAATTATTCTGTTCTAATACAAATAAATTCATCCTGGCAATTTATCAAAATCTTGCACATTTAAGAGGAATTTCCACATAAATATTAGGGATCTCTGCTCTATAAAGTTGTTGCTGCCCTGGGGGCTCATGTTAGTGACTAGCAACCAAGATTCATAAATACCATTTTACTACTAAATCTTCACCCACTTCTTGATTCAAACTCTCTTCCTCATATGTTACTCTTCGAAATATTCTAATCAAAACTGAAATCTGGAACATCTTGATTGATGCCTGGTTCCAAGCTTCTTGAACCATCATTGAAATCATTAGAGAGAGAGAGATTCTTTGTACGAATACTATGCTGTTGATCTGTAATACCTTTTGCCAAACGTGTAGGTGGGGAGCTCATCTCAGGTTGTTTTCTACTGAACCGAAGGGCAAGCTTCGGCTGAAACCAGCGTTTTAGGGCGAGCCCACTGATCCGAATCTTCCCATATGATTCATTCCCTTGATATGGCAGTCCCAACCTCCTCAGCAAGGCCCCAAGAGCTTGCCCAATCCTGTAGTCACCGAAACAGACTATATATCACACCAAAAATTTCTCAGTTTAGAATCTAGAGGAACAAAGCAGGAGTTAGTGTACACTAATAAATAAAATGCTGAAAGCTGCAGTAACTTCTATAATGTATTATTCACCCAAAAAAAAAAACTCCTATAAATGTATTATGTTGAAACTTATCTGGATTTATATGTTTCGGATTAGAGGACAATTTAAGACAGACAATTTTGGAAAAACCATGAGAAAACATGATCTTACACTAGTCAGCATATCAAAGGAAAAGATCAGTCTAAACATCAACCCTATAGTTCGTCCAGTTTCCTGAAGAAGTGGTGTCTGTTTTATTTTGCTCGACTTCCAAAAAATTTTCAGATAGTGCAAAAGCATTATAATGTTCTTTGCCATGAACTGAAATGAATGTTTACATCAGGCAGTCTGTGCTGGGTTTAACAAGTGCACCCTGAATTGAATGTCACAGTTTTATTTATTTATTTATTTTTTATCTCATAATGAGTTAAAGCAATTGAGAAGAACTTTTGGCCATACAAATCTGTGCTAAGAAAGAATATTAATCATACTGTTGCATTCCCCACTCTAACTGCTTATTTTGTTTCTGTGTTCTTGATCTATCCACTAGGTCAGTCTAGATTCATTCTCTACACCGAGATAGTGAGGAACAATACGAAACTGCACAAAGTTACGAGTACAACATTACAAAGGAATTCATGACATTATAGCCATTCTTGGACAAGATGAATTATCCATAGAGGATTGTTTAACCGGAGCAAGAGCACGAAAAATTGAGCATTTCACCACTATGATAGAATGACCAAAATAATCAACCTGTTCCCCAAGTAGAGTCTCGCGAATCCTCCCTCTATGCTTTCAATTACATCTGAAAGTGGCTTGTAAACTTTATTGTGACCATCCCTTATTAGTTGTTGGCAGATTCCATTATAAAGAAGTACACAGTGAAAGCCTCTAGTATATGTAAGAACAAAAAAGTACTTTCATTGTCATGGAATAAGCATGTATTTGATTTATTTAGAACTGTTAAAGATTAAATCATTAAATGATTATGAGTGTTGGAGTTGGATGTAGTATGGGGTATCTTTGTCTTTTTTATAAACTTTAGGACATTAGGTTTTACTAAAGTACTTAAAGGGCATTTCTCTAATATTTTTTTGATAAGGTTAGCATTGTATTACTGGGAGAGAGTTACAATGGAGAGTAATACAAGTAAGAGAGAGTCTGAGATCACCCTAAGAGAGGATAACTCAGTAAAAAATGGGCTAGCCTACCATGTACACAAAGGGCTTATAGAACGCCCAGTTGTAAGGATTTACATGAAGCTTTTTGCAAAAATACATCAAGATAGAAAAACCAAAAAAGCGAGCCATATTACGCCATGTGCCCCTGGTCTTGAGCAAAAAAGGAGTCAGGCCCGGGTTGCACTTGTCCTTGGCCCTGACATCTAGCACCCTCTTTCGCCAAGAGAATCTGCGGTGTCATTGGCCGTCCTCCATATATGCCTCCAAGAGACATCCATATCCCTGCATGTGATCAATTTCGTCAGCCAATGAGGCTAAGTACCATGGCGGTGTGCTCTTTCTCCTTGCCCAGGAGATAACAAATTTGGAGTCTCCTTCCATTATCAAGTGTGGACCCCAAGAGGGATTAAAGAGTTTTAAGCCTATCAAAAGGGCAATAGCTTCGGCATGGTTAGAGTCCATAAAGCCTATGTACTCTGAAAAGGTGAGGAGGACATTGCTAAGATGATCGCGAAAGACCCCTCCAGCCCCTGCGAGGCCCGGGTTCCCTAGAGGGCAACCATCGAAGTTGAGTTTGATGTATCCTTGGGGTGGTGGTTGCCGGTTATAATGTCTGGTTGCCAATCTCGGATGGTGATGGAGGACATTAGTCCATTGGGTGAGGAAAAAACTTCGTGGAATTACTGAGAACTCCTTGTGGTTCGTGGCCCAAAAAGTCACCAGAGATACGGTCTTATGGAGGAGAGCTGGTGTTTGGAGTTTGATAGCCTAAAAGATTTTAGAGTTACGTTCCAAACAAATGGTCCAAATAGTAGCTGCAATAGTTGCCTTCCATAACACCCTTCTTGCCTTCGACCAACAAGAGTCTAAGTCATAGGAAATGCCTTGACCGAAGGAGGGGTGACCCATTTTATGCCAACAAGTTGCAAAACTTGACCCCAAAGACCAAGGGTAAATTCACAGCGGATGAACAAGTGTTGGTTCGATTCCTCCTCACATAAGCATAAGGCACACCTATTCGGGATAGGAATCCCTCCCTTTTGTAATTGGTCCACCGTGAGAGCCCTATGAGAGCAGGCAAGCCAGTTGAAGGTTTGTACTTTTGGTGGGGCAATGGTGGCCCAAACCTTGGATTGGATAGCTGTAGGAGTCCAGATGATATCGTCGGTCCCTTGTGGCGATAGGAAATGAGAGTGAAGAGAGTTTGAGAGTGACTGGAATTGGTTGGTCTCCTCTTCTGTGAGATTCCTTCGAAAGGAAGGGTTCCATACTCTGCGTTCCTCTGTGAGGACCATGTCCTCAGCAATGTAGGATTCTTTGTTAAGAGCCAAAGAAAAGAGGGTGCGGAAAACCTCTCTCAAGGGTGCAGGGCCCAGCCACAAGTCAGTCCAGAATCTCACTCTGGAGCCCCCTCTAGGATGGGATCTGACAAATTTCCTGAACTGGGAAAGGGACGAGGCAAAAGATCTCCAGGCCCTTGAGGCGTTGTGCCAATGACGCCTATCGGGCAACCAGGCACCCTCAGGGATGTTGTACTTACATCTTAGTACCTGAACCCAAAGAGAACTTGGCTGGGTGGCTAAACGCTACCACCATTTCCCAAGGAGGGCTTGGTTTTGTTTACGAAGGATTCGAATACCAAGTCCTCCTTGCTGTTTGGGAAGGCAAATGTTGTCCCAAGCTACAAGATGGAACTTAGTCTTATCAGCCTGCTCTGACCAGAGGAAATTTCGCATGATTAGATCAAGTCGATTGGCCACCTGGGCAGGCATGTAAAAGAGAGACATAACGTAGATCAGGGAATTGAAAATGGTGGCATTAATCAATGTCTTTCTTCTTGCCATAGAGAGGTATCTACCATTCCACCCTACCAACCGCTTGTCTACCTTGTCTAGTACTAGGACTACTGCCTTTTCTTGGGTTTCCCCAAACCCAAAGGGAGGCCTAGATAAGTAGTCGGTAGTTCTTCCACTTTGCACTCCCACCTCGGAATGAGGGATCTAACCTCTGCTGGTGTCAAGGCTACACTCATTATTTTGGATTTCACCACGTTAACTTTGAACCCAGTCGCAGTTTGGAAGCATTTAAAGAAAAGTTCAAGGGTATCCACTCTATCAGAAGGGGCATCTATGAACACCAAAGTATCATCTGCGTACTGCAGATGACTCACAGTTGGACCATGTCTACTACTCCTGAAACCCGAGAGGAGGCCGGTCTCGTAGAGCAGGGAGATGGTTCGGCTGAAGACCTTTGCCGAAATTGCGAAAAGGAAAGCGGAGAGAGGTTGTCCTTGGTGGAGACCCCTTAAAGAAGGAAAGTAACCGTTCGGGGTTCTATTGATAAGTATAGAGAAATGTGGATGTGAGAAGCAACCTTGCATCCACATTCTCCATCTATCTCAGAAACCCATCCTTGCCATCGACTCATCGAGAATGGACCAGTCGACATGGTCATAAGCCTTTTCCCAGTCAATTTTGAAAATGAGGCCAAGTTTCTTTGCAAGATGTCTCGAGTGAATACACTCGTTGGCCACTAAAGCCCCATCAAGGATTTGTCTGTCTTTGAGGAAGGCAGATTGTGAAGAGGGAAGGACTTGTTGTAGTCTAGAGGCTAGGGCTTTGGCCAGAATTTAGAAGGCTAATAGGGCGAAAGTCTTTTATTTCCTCAGCACCTTCAATTTTGGGGACCAATGCTATGAAGGTGGCATTGATGGCTTTGTGGAGCGTGCCCCTATGGAAGAATTCGGCGAAGAAATTGATGAAATCAGGACGGAAGGTGTCCCAGGACTCCTTGAAGGGGGCTATCGGGAAACCGTCAACACCCGAGGCCTTGTCTTTGGCTAAAGCATTGATAGCCGAAGTGATCTCTTCCTCTGAGAACTGTTGTTCTAGCCAGCGAGCTTTGTCATCTGCGAGGGATAGGAATTCAAGTGAAGACATCCTCGGTCTCGGGCTAGGGGGAGCTGAGTAAAGAGTCTGGAAGAACTCTAAAATTGCCTGCTCAATCTTTGCAGGTCGAGTGAGATAGCAGTTGTTGACCTTTGTCATCGTAATCAAATTGTCTCTTCTGCGACAATTTGCGATGCGATGAAAAAAGGCAATATTGTGATCACCTGCTTTCAGCCAAGTGATTCTAGATCTCTGGAACCAGTAGATCTCTTCTTTTTTTAGAGTGGAGAGGTAATCCAGTTTAGCCTTAGATTTGAGTTCAATCTCAGAGGATACCAAAGGCTTTGTTTCGTCGAGACGATCACAATCTTGAATGGTGCTAAGCAGGGAAGACTTGAGTTGGGAGAAGTTTCCAGGAATGGAACGACTCCAAGTTTTGAGCAAGGCTTTAAGTAATTGGAGTTTGGTCTGGAGGATGTACCCTGCTCTACCCGAGACATGTGAGGCAGGGGAATTCCACCAGGTATGTAATAGTAAAGAAAAGTCCTTCTCAAGGAGCCAGTGAAGTTCAAATCTGAAACGCCTGGGGCCTCTCTGAATGGCATCAGTATCTAGCAGAATAGGACAGTGGTCTAAGGTTGGTTTGGGGAGGGTTAAGGAGGAGGATCTCGAAAAATGTTCCTCCCAGTTCAGGGAGAGGAGGAACCTGTCTAGTTTAGAGAGGATGGGGTCGGAAGCATGGTTGGACCACGTAAAACGGCTACCCTGGAGGAGAATGTCTAAAAGTTCGGTACGATTGATGAATTATGAGAAGTCCCTCGTATCATGAGAGATGGAATTTG